TTAAACTTTTTTGAAAGATTTTGGGTTTTTTTTGGAGTAGTTTTTGCTACTGGGTGCTTGTGCTCACCAGAAAGCTAGAAAGCTAGAAATCACCCTCCAGGGGGGATGACCACGCCACAATCCCTTCTCCATTCTCCTCTCTGGATCTTGGGGCCACACCCACACACACCTGGTATGAGTTTAAGCCACCGGGTCTGGGACTTGAACCGTGGTCGGCTACATGCGAGTCTAGCAACATAGCCATTATGCTAACCGCTGATCCCAACAGATATTTGATACAGGGTGCTTGTGCTTGCCAGAGAAACAAAGAGAGACAGAGACAGAAAGGGTGAAACCACCTCCCAGGGAAATGGCTACACCAGAATCCCTTCTCCTCCATTCTCCTCTAGGGCTTTTGGGCATGCATGCTTATGCTGTGTGAATGTCAAGCCTTTAGGTCCAGATTGACCACATGTGGGTCCAGTGATATAACCATTATGCCCTCTGCTGGTCCCTTTAAAAATGTCTTAAAGTTTATAAATAAATCTTAAATGTAAATAAATTTAAAATTTATTTATTTGTTCATTTAATTTATACTAATCACTGGAAATCTTTACATGGTTTTCCCCAGCATGAATGCAGTGCATATTAATCAAGTCAAAGACATTACCATGAACATTATCATCGATAGATAACTTTTTATTTTTCTATTAAATGTCTTGTTTGTGTTTTCTCTGACCCCCTCCTTCTCACCCCTGATTACCCAACCCTTATTACCCACATCCTCCTATACTATCTCTAGTACCTACAGTTGGCTTCCCTGCTATTATACCTTCCACTCTTTCAGTTACTAATATAGAGTGCATACATTAATATATACATGCGATATATATTAAGTGGGGACATATAATGCCTCCCATTCATAGTCCCACTTACTTTGCTTAACATGAAATCTTCCATACTTATCCACTTTAAGTCAAATGTCAGGTCTAATTGTGTGCTGTGGCTGAGTAGTCTTCCATAGTGTATATGAGTAGTCTTCCATAGTGTATATGAGTAGTATTCCATAGTGTATATGAGTAGTCTTCCATAGTGTATATATGTTTTTCCAATCCACACATCTGTCCTTGGACATTTGGGTTAATTTCATGTCTTAGCAATTATGAATAATGTTGCAATAGACTTAGATGTGCACACTTTTTTTTTTTTTTTTCTGACTGTTTTTCTATCCTTTAGGTAGGTACCTAAGAGCGGAATTACTGGGTGGTATGGTAGATCTGTTTGTAGGTTTCTGAGGAACCTCCATATCATTCTCCACAGAGGTTATACACATTTACATTCCCACCAATAGTGTAGGGGAGTTTCCTTTTCGCTGCAGCCTCACTAGCACTTATTCTTTTTTTCTTTTTCTTTTTTTGGAGAGATTTTCGCTATAGGGCGTGTGCGCTCGCCAGAAAGACACAGAGAGAGAGATAGAAAGCGAGAAATCACCCACAGGAGGCATGGCCACGCTGCAATCCCTTCTCCTCCATTGTCTTCTTGGGATCTTGGGCACATACGCACACCAGCCCAGTGTGAGTTTAATCCGCCCGGTACGGAACTTGAACCGCGGTTGGCTACATGGGAGTCCAGCAACATAGCCGTTACGCTAACTGCTGGTCCCTCTTTTTCTTTCTTTTTTGGAGAGATTTTTGCTCTAGGCCATGTGTGCTTTCTGGAGAGACAGAGAGAGACAGAAGGACAGAAAGTTAAGAAATCACCTCCCAGGGTGAATCGCCATGCCACCCTGGGGACTTTAGGCACACATTCACATGTGCCTGGCATGAGGTTTAAGCCACAGTGTCTGGGCCTTGAACTGCATTCGGCTATGTGTGAGTCTAGTGTTGTAACCATTAATTACATCATCTGCTGGTCCCATATTCTTTAGTTTTAATTTTTTTGAGAGATTATTGCTATAGGGTGTGTGCAATCACCAGAGAGAGGGGGAAAGACAGAAAGCAAGAAATCGTCCTCCCAGAGAGGATGGCCACACTGAAAGCCCTTCTCCTCAATTCTTCTCTCTGGATTTTTGGCATGCTCGCTTATGTGCTTGGCCTGAGTTTTGAGCTACTGGGTCTGGGACTTACCCTGCAGATGACCACGTGGGAGTCCAGCACCTTAACTACTCTGCCACCTGCTGGCCCCTATTATTTTTTATTGTTTTAATCATAGCCATTTTGACTGGGGTTAAGTGATATCTCATTGTAGTTTTGATTTGCATTTTTCTTATAAGAGATGTTAAACAATTTTGCATATGCTTTTTGGCAGTTCATATGCCTTCCTTGGAGAGTTATTCAGCTCATTTGCCTATCATTTAACTGATTTTCATTTTGCTTGAATTCCCAGTATGTTCTGGTTATCAGTTTCTTATCTGAGACTTAATTTGACAATGTAGTCTCTCATTCTGAAGGTAGTCTTCTCACCCTAATTACTGTTTCTTTTGCCATACAAAACCTTTTTAGTTTGACATAGTCTGACTTGTCTATTTTGGATATTATTACCTGTGGATTGGGGGTCTTATTTAAAAAGCCTTTTTAAACTCTGATGTCTCCAGGAGTTTCCCCCATGATTTTTACCAATGGTTTTATAATGTGAAGTTTTATGTTTAGATCCTTGATCCATTTTGGGTTGATTGATGTTAATGGTGAGAGGTAGGGTTCCAGTTTCATTTTTCTCCATGCAGATATCCAGTTTTTACATCGCCATTTGCTGAAGACATTTTCTTTTTCCCACTGGATTGTCTTGTGCCTTTTGTCTAAAATCAAATAACTGTATTTTTGGAGTTTATTTCTGGGTTCTTAATTTTTTTAAATTGGTCAACCTGCCTGCTTTTGTGCCAATACCATGCTGTTTTGATGATCAGAGCTTTGTAATATATTTTGAGGTCAGGAAGTGAGAAGATTTCTAGTTTTTTGCTTTTCCACAGCATTGTTTTGGTGATTCAGGGTCTATTGTGATTCCAGATGAATTTTATCATTTCTTTTTTCTATTTCTGTGGGGAATATCTCTGGTAGTTTGAATAGAATTGCATTGAATTTGTAGATTTGGATAGGATTGACATTATGTTAATTGTTCCTATCCAGGAACATGAATATCTTTTCTTTTTTTGTGTGTGTCATTTTCAATTTCTCTTTAAAGTTTTTCATAGTTTTCCTTGTAGAGGTCTTTCACTTCTTTGGTTAGGTTTATTCCTAAGTATCTTACTTGTGTATGTGTGTGTGTGTGTGTGTGTGTGTGTATGTGTGTGTGTGTGTATTTTTTGTAGCTATTATAAATGGGATTGTTTTCTTCAATTGTACTTAAGTTTATTCATTGTTGGTGTATAAAAATGCTATAGATTTTTTGTATGTTAATTTTGTATTCTGCCACTTTATTGTATTCATATACCACTTCCAGGAGGGTTTTGTGGATTATTGGGGGCGGGTAGGATAGAGAAAAGTTAGCACAAGAAGGGAGAACTGCACTTACCTTCTAACTGTGAAACTGCAGGATCAGGACTTGGGTGGGGGGAGGTCTGATGGCTGACTCAGCCCTGCCTCCCTCACCCTAGACTGGGCAGGAGGCTCCAAGTTGAGAACGGCTGCTTCCTTGATAGTTTTAATAATTAATCCAGTTACATTAATTTTGTCTTTGCTTTTTTTTTTTTTTTTTTTTGAGAGAGGTTTTCGCTATGGGACGTGTGCGCTCACCTGACAGACAGAGACATAGAGACAGAAAGCGAGAAATCAACCCCTGGGGGGATGGTAACGCCACACTACCTTCTCCTCCATTCTCCTCTCGGGATCTTGGGCCCTTCTCCTTCATTCTCCTCTCGGGATCTTGGGCACGCACGCACACGCGCCTGGTGTGAGTTCTAAGCCACTGGGTCCAGAACGTGAACTGCAGTCGACAACGTGGGAATCCAGCGACACAGCCATTACGCTAATTGCTGGTTCCCTTGTCTTTGCTTTTTATAGTAATAGTTTTTAATGACTGAGGCCATAGCCTGAAAGGCATATATCCAAAAAATAACAATTATTTCTATTAAATTAAATAATTTTGAATTTTTTTCGTAAAGGTGGCAGTTTAGCATTGTGAACAATACTTCACCTTCATATAACACATGAAGCTACTCATAACATTTACATATTTTACTTATGGAAATATTTTACTTTGGTTTTAGCATTATATATAGATATAGTTAAAATTGTCTTCCCATTAATTTATTTTATCAATGTGAATAAAGTTTATGTGTGTAGAATGATATTTATCTCAGAATCATTTTGAAGTTGCTAATCATATAAATGATCACAGAGAAAATAAACAAGGAAAGGCGTTACAGTATATGTTGAAATATTCAGCTGTTCAAGTTCAGATTTTCTTTATATATTTAAACAAATATTAAAATTATTTCATTTCTTCTTCTTTTTTTTTTCTTAAAGCTTGCTATAGAGCATGTGTGCTCACCGGAGAGAGAGAGAGAGAGAGAGAGAGAACAATTCTGTAGGTCTGGGACTTGAACTATTGTCAGCCATGTGGGAGTCCAGTGCCTTAACCACACCTTGTGGACCTGCTGGTCCCTCAAGTTCAAATTTTTAAAAAAATATTTATTTTATGAAAGTAGAGGGCCCAAAATTTCTATATGTACACAATTTTACCTGGAATAAAATGCACCAAAATGTTTTCTCTATAGTTGCAAGATTATCGATGACTTTTATTTTCTTACCATTGTATAGCTTCTGGAATGTCTATTAGTGTTTATAGTGTTAATTTTTACTAACTACAGAAATAATATAATTTTAAGGAATTATGACTTCTTCCATATCTACATTTTGCTTTTTATTGTTTGATAACAAAGATTCATGCTTTTCTACTGTAGAATAGCCCACTAGTACATAATGATAATCATTTACAGTGCTGGTGTGCAGTATATTTTCATCTAACTTTTGTTTTTTAAAAAGATTTTTAAAGTACATTTCACAATTCTAATTTCTTCCCCACAGACAGCCTTTTGATTGACTATCAGTTTACCTTCAGCTTATTACAGGAAGATGATCGTCACCATACTGCCATAAACTTCATAGCAAACCCAGAACAGGTGAGGCAAGATCATTATCCACGCAAAGTGATTATGCTAGGATCAAGGGGTATAACTTCCTGGTAACCTTTCATTGGGATTTTATTTATTAGAATTATCACACTAAAGGGCTTTAGACTAACTTTGTTAATTTTTTTATCATAAAACTTAGGTATCTTTTGTGACTCAGAGAACTAGTGAGTTTGATGTTTCAGACTTTGCCAGTAGTTTTGTAATTTAAATGATATGTTATTATTCTTATAATAATATTTATGTTTCCAGTTACACTCAAAGTCACAGTAATTTTATTTGAAAATAAAGCCCATGAATTTAAAAAATGGTATGTTAAATATATATTTTTTTAATTCCATCCCATAGAAATAGTTTTCATTGTCCTTTTTTGTAGTACAGTGGTTCATCTTTGTTATATGACTGTTGGTTTCTTTAATTAAGTTATCGTACTGGTGTCCTAATTTTACAATCTTTTGAAGTTTAAATGTATGAAAGATAATTGCAAATCTTAATATCAGCACATCAATCCAGAAGAAGACTCTTAGATTGTCTAGAAATAGCATACATATATAATGCAATTCATATGAGACAATAAAGTTAGAAAGTTCAAAGAATGGAAATATCAACCATGTAGTTTATTCGGGTGGAATTTTAGTTCTTTTGAAACAAAAAATAATTCATTCAAAATAAAGACATTGTTTTAAATACATGTTATTATTGTTATATCTTAATTCATATTGTTAAATCCATATCATATATCTTAATAGTTTTTCAAGTAGGTGAACTATCTCAATATATCCTAACACAATTCTTGTTTGCTTCTCTCTTCACCATCTTCTTCAAATTCCAGAAATTCTGAGTGTTTTCCAATGTTGCAGCTTTCCATTTTGCTTTCAAATGTTCATCCAGTTAAGGCCAAGAGTCTAGGCTATGTTCTTTGATGGTTAAGAATGCTAAACCATCTTGAGAAATGTTCCTAAGAATGCTCATAATATAATTTTGTGTAATTCTCTATTCATGTGTTGTTTTTTTTTTACTAGAAAATGTATGTGTAATAATACACCTAACAAGATGTATTTCAACAAAATAATCTTGTTTTGCTCTAATATCACTTTAAATTAATCCAGACCTATATTATTTAAATATTAGCTACAAGTAAGGAAAGAGAGTCAGAATACAAAACTGTATTACAACAGTCTTTGCTTACATACAGAAGGCCAAATTATAGTAGAGACAATAAATGAGAAACTTTAAAGGTACTGGTATGTTTATCATACATATTTTCATTACGAAGTATGAATAGCATCTGTATTTATTCAATTGAATACTTAATTTCTGTATAGCGTTTGAGAAGTATATGAGATAGATATAATTAAATTAGCAGACTAAATCTTATCTATTCGGTATAATTTGAATTTTTTAACTTTAATGTTTTTTTTTTTTGATAGTCAAACAAAAATTTGGATATTTCGATAAATGCATCAAACAACTTTAATCTCAACATTACATGGTCAATTGGTTCAACAGGTAAAAGAATTTTGGTGTCATGTCTCTTTCATGTGTATTTCTATATGTAGTTTTTTTTAACATGATCTTTGACTGTTAATTTAAATAAAATTTAAATACTTATATGTTAACCATTGTGCTGTTATTGATAAAAATAATAAGAAGCAATATAAATTAAGTTTCATTACTTTGTTAACTTTCTTCCTTATTCAGTTAGAGTTAGATGGGTAAGAAGTATACACTACAGTACTTTTTTGTTTAATGGCAGTGTTATGAATTCTGTGATTTTAAGATAAATTACTACTTTTATGACTAAAAGACTGAGATTTCAATTTCTGATTGATTCACTATAAATTTATAAATATAACTTAATTTAATTAAATTAATAACCTTAATACTGACACAAACAAAATCAACTGGGCATGCTAATAATAGTAACAATTTATTTTTTTCAAGCTTAAAAATATACCGTCTTGTCAGCTTCAGTGCTATGAGGAGTTCAAGACACTTTAATAAGACTTATGCATTGAAATTATTGACTTGGAAAAATAAACTAAGAAGTTCTGATCTTTATGTTGAATTAATGAAACATTGCTCATTTTTTATATTTATGGCTTAAGAAATTCTATTGCTTTCTATATCAAAGATACAGTAGAAACTATTTTTTTGTATAAAAATGTTATGATTCTTAGGAATCTGTATCTGATTTCTTAAAGTTAAGTCATTATTGCATTAAGCATGTATAGTCATGGATACATAGAGTTTAAGAGTGAAGGGATCTTTTGTAGTTCCAAAATCTATTTTGCTTGTGAAAAATGAACACTGCAGGTAAATATATAGTCATTTGTTGATTAGAGTGCCAAAAATCTAGTAAAATTTTGGCACTGTGAGTCTTACTAACTAAAATGCTTTGATTATTTAGTCTATGAAATGGAAAATTATTTCTGACCAATAAAAATCCATAACGTTTTAAATTATATCTACAAATATTTAAACATTTCTAACTATTCTAGAGTAGTAATTTTAGTATATAAGAAATTATTTGTAACTTTCAGATTTCCAGAACCAAATCTCATAAATTTTGATTTATCATGTTGGCAAGTGGGGTAATGGTATCTGCATTAAAAAATAAAAAGAAATGGTCATTTTGGAATAGGTGATCAGTTAGAAATTTATTTAGTTAGTGTACTAAATCTAATTATTTCTACTGTCAATTAACAGTAAGGTGGAGGTCTTGCTAAGATTGTTGGAAATGCTTTATTCTATTTGGTTAACTTCAATCAATATTTACTAAGTGCCAGTATATGTTTAACTAATTCAGTGTGTAGCTTGTGTTTTAAATTTTAGCCTCCTTTCAATTTCTTTAAAATAGTGATGGTTTAATTTGTAGTTCAAAAACACATTTGTTTTCTTTTCCATTTTCAATTGGATTGATACATATGAAAATATTGTCTGATTTCTTTTAAAAGGCTCTGCGGAGTAGTAATAGAATGAGCTTAGTTTCTGGAGCTACATATACCTGCATTCTCTAGAAGAGTTTTGTTGCTTAACAGCTATAAGCTTCCCATAAGTGCCTTAGGCTCAGGTTTCTTTCTTTTTTTTTTTTTTTTTTTTTAAGAGAGAGATTTTTGTTATAGGACAGAGAAGGTGTGCTTGTCAGAGAGAGAGAGAGAGAGAGAGAAAGAGAGTTTTGGAAAGTGAGAAATCAATCCCCAGGGGGATGGCCATGTTGCAGTCCCTTCTCCTTCATTCTCCTCTTGGGATTTAGAGCATGCACGCACATGCGCCCAGCATGAGTTTTAAGCCACTGGGTCGAGGGTGGAATGGCAGTCAACTACATGGGATTCCAGTGACTTACCTATTACGTCAGCTACTGGTCCCTCAATTTTAATAATAGAGATTAAAATCTCTAGCCTTTGGCCTAGTGGTTAGGGGAACTTAATTCCATAAGGCACTCCTGTTCAAATTCCAGCCCTTGCAACTTAGAGAACATACTGGATACCAGTGTCCAGAATCCTGATGTTATGGGGAAAATAAGCAGAAAGGATTGTGGTGTGACTGTGCCCTATTAGGGGGTAGTTTCTTCCTCTCCCTACAAGCCTGTCTCTCTGGTGAATGCACATATCCTCTGGGAATTAAAAAAAGAAAGAAAGAAAGAAAGAAAGAAAGAAAGAAAGAAAGAAAGAAAGAAAGAAAGCAAGCAAGTAAGCAAGCAAGCAAAGTTGATAATACTTCTGTGATACAAAACGTCATTAGAGAATACTATGAGCAACTCTATGCCAACAAAGAAGAAAACCTGAATGAGATGGACAAATTCCTGGACACATATAATTTACCAAGATTGACACAGAAGGACATAGAAAGCCTGAATAGGCCTATAACAAGCAATGAGATTGAATCAGTAATAAATAACCTCCCAACAAAGAAAAGTCCATGGCCCCATGGCTTACTTCTGTGATAACATTGATATTAGAAAATACTATAGTTTCTAAGAAAGTGCCTAGTGCATAGCACTTAATTTGTGAAAGTCTTTTGAGAATGTTTTTTAATATCTTTATTTTTGTTATTACTAATTTTTGGTTTTATATATGTGTCTGTACTGGCAAGAGAGAGAGAGAGGGAAAGAATATAACCCCCCCCTCCCCATGGGGATAGCCTAATGGTTCTGTTGCTGGACTCCTATGTAGTTGACTGAGGTTGAGTCCTGAATGCAGTGGCTTAAACCTCATGCAGGGTGCGTGTGCATGTGTGCCCAGGATCCTGAGAAGAGAATGGAGGAGTAGGGATTGCCGCATGGTCATCCCCCCTGGGGGGTGATTTCTTGCTTTCTGTCTCTGTGTCCATCTCTGTCTTTCTGGTGAGTGCATGTGCTCCATAGCAAAAATCTCTGTCTCAAAAAAAATTGTAAATGTGAGTGTTTTCAAAGGAAAATGTTTAAACAATTTTGATAATTATGTTTTTATAAGAACAAATAAAAATTAAGTGTAATACATATTTTTAAATTTATAAAAACACCTGTTTCTTAGTATGAATTATTTATATTTGTTGTTATTATTTACATTTTAGCTGGAACAATATCTGGGGAAGAGACTTCTATAGTTTCCAAGACTAATATAAAGGAATACAGAGATAGTTTTTCCTATGAAAAATTTAACTTTAGAAGCAATCCTAACATTACATTCTATGTATACGTCAGCAACTTTTCCTGGCCTATTAAAATACAGGTAAGTGTTAAGAGTGTTTACCTATAATAACTATTGAGTATTTTCATTACAAAAAGAATACTGTTTTTGTCCCAAGTGATTGTACATATGTACTTCTTGACTTGAACAATGCTAAAACATGGCTTTTTAAAAAAATCCTTATAGTAATGATATATCATATTTGTAATAATAATTGAACATAGGATCATTTTCTCTTTTGGGCTGTTTTGAATAATGCTGCTATAAAGTTATTTTACATGTTCTTTGGTTGACAAACACTGGTTTTTCTTGGATACTTCTTTGGGACTATAACTATTAAGTGGAGTAGAATGTATTTTTTTGAGATTTTAATTTGTATTTCTGTGATCAATGATGAGGTGGAGCAAATTTTCACACTCTTACTGGCTATTTGGATCATTTTAAATGAAGCTTTGTTGAAAATATTTGCCCATTAAGGGGGATTGTCTTTGTTGTTCTTATTGATTGATTAAATTCTTTGTATATTATGGATATCAATGCTTCATCAGATATACGTATTGTATATATCTATCCCTAGCTTGTGGTGTACTTTTTCATACTCTTACTGGCGTGTTTTTACAAAAATAAGTTCAAAATTTCAATGAAGCCTTTATTTATCAACCTTTTATTTTATAATTGGTATTTTTCATTTTTGTTCTTATTTTATGGATTAACTGAAGGTTGACTTGAATGGAGCTGTTGATTACTGATAATTTATTTTTTCTGTATTTATTGAATATATTTTTTGCCTAGTTCCTTAAGTAGTGTTACTATTTTACATTTTAAGGATATTAACCACTAGGCATTCTTTGTAGCAAATGTAATATTCTCAAGTGTAAGTGTTCATTTGCCTTTTGTTTTTATTTTATTCTATATAGTTTAACAGGATATAAATGCTTTATGCTAAAGCAATAAAGTGTATTCATTTTATTTTTCTGAGTTTCCTTTTTTTTAACTGTATCATCATTACCCTGAGTTTAGTCCCATATTATTATATAATTTCTGTTTTATTTTTTTATTTTTGTTTAGATTTTACTTTGCTCTTTCGAGGTATACTTGACAGATAAAATATTTAGGGCAAACAACAAGGTGTTTTGAGTGAAGTATACCCAATCACCTCACATTGTTAGCCATTGCTTATGTGTGTTGGGGGAGAAGTGAGAAGAGTTAAGATCTATTCTCTTAGCCAGTTTTCATTGTATAATATGTTATTATTAACTGTAGTTACCACACAGTAACTACATTAGATCTCTAGATCTCATTGAGGTTTCTACACTTACGAGCCTATCCTGTTTCCCCTACCTCTCAGCTCCTGACCAATACACTCCCTGTATCAAGAAGTTCAATTTTTTTTATTCCACATAAGTGATACATGCAATATTGTGTAATTGATTTATTTACTTAGAATAATGTTCTCCAGGCTCATTTCATGCATTATTGCCACAAATGGCAGGATTTATTTCTTTTTAAAGGCTGAATAATATTCCATTGTATGTCTGTGTGTGTGTGTAATTATGCATTCATCTGTTTGTGGATACTTACGCTACTTTTATATTTAGTCTGTTCAGTATAATGCTGCAGTGAATACAGGAGTGCAGATATATGTTTAAGACAGTGATATCATTTGCATTATGGGATGACTGAATCATATGGTAGTTTTATTTTTAAATTTTTGAGGAGACTCCATATACTTTTCCATATAGCTATACCAATGCATATTCTCTTTGGTATTCTCTAAGGGATCTTTTTTCTCCATAATCTCTCTGACAGCTTTTTTTTTTTTTTTTTCCCCTTTGGAGAGGTTTTTGCTATAGGGCACGTATGCTCGCCAGACAGACAGAGACATAGAGACAGAAAGCGAGAAATCACCCCCCAGGGGGGATGGTCACGCCGCAATCCCTTCTCCTCCATTCTCCTCTCGGGATCTTGGGCACACACGCACACGTGCCCAGCATGAGTTTTAAGCCACCGGGTTCGGGACGCGAACCACGGTCGACTACGTGGGAGTCCAGCGACATAGCCATTATGCTAACTGCTGGTTCCCTCTGACAGCTTTTTTAACTTGACTTATTATCATTTGTCTTTTTAAAAATACTTAAAAGTTATAATAAAAATTGTAATGTTTTAATTAAAAGTTTAATATTTTAAAGCAGCATAGTAATTGAACATACTTGTGAGGATACAACAGCATCTTTCAGTGCAGGAATATAATGTGTGATGACTAAATCAGGATTATTAGCATACCCGTCATCTCAACCATTTATCTTTACTTAGGTCGAAAATACTCAGAATTCTTCCTTTTAGATATCTTGAGATGCATAGCACATCGTGGCCATCTATATTCTTCCCACCGTATTTTATAGCACTAGAAATTGTTCCTTCTTTCTACCTTCAGTATTGCTTCCAGGTGACCCTACCTGTGTGGGTTTATTTCTATATCCTATTGTGATCTATTGGAATAAATCCCTTTTTATTGGAATAAATATGATTTTGATTACAATAGTTTTGTAATACAGTGTAAAATCAGGATGTGTGATGCCTCCACTTTGTTGTTGTTTCTCAGGATTGCTTTGGTTGTTTGGTGTGTTTTGTGGTTCCATAGGAATTTTAAGATTATTTTTTCTGTTTTTGTGAAAAATACCATTGGAATTTTGATGCAAATTACATTGAATTTGTAAATCATTTTGGCTAGTATGAACATTTTAATAATACTCATTTTTATTATCCCTGAACATGAGATAGCATTGTATTTGTCTGTGGAGTCTTAAATTCTTTGCATCGGTATATTGTAGTTTTAAATGTACAGACCTTCCACTTTCTTGATAAATTTATTCTTAAATATTTTATTCATTTTGATGCTATTGTAAATGAAAATGTTACCTTTTGGGTCTGTCACTATAAATATATCAAACTCAAATTTATTTTTGTATATTGATTTGGTATCCTGCAACATGAATGAATTCTTAAATAAGTTCTAGTAGCTGATAAGTAAATAATAGCTAGTAGTTTTGGTAGCATTTGAAGGGATTTTCATATTCAGGATCATGTCATCTGCAAACAGAGATTTACTTCTTTCTTTCTGATTTTGATGCCTTTGATTTTTTCCTTGCCTAATCTTTCTGTCTAGGACTTCCAGCACCACATTGAACACAAATGGTGACACTTGATATCTTTGTCTTTCTAATAATATTAGAGGAAAATCTTTCTGCTTTTCACCAACAAATATAATGTTACCTGTGGGCTTGTCATATATGGCCTTTATTATGTTGAGGTGTATTACTTCTATACCTAATTTGTTGAGCGTTTTCATTATAAAGAATACTGAATTTGGGCAAGTACTCTCTATGCATCTATTGAGATGGTCATATGATTTTTGTCCTTTATTCGGTTAATGTGGTTGATTACATTTGTTAATTTGTGTATGTTGAACTATTCTAATATTGTAGGAATAAATCATATGTGACTATGGCTTACAATCCTATTACCATGCTGTCAAATGTGGTTTGCAAGTGTTTTGCTGAGGATTTTTAATGTTTAACAAAGCGTTCTATTCATGGACACACTCTACTTGGTCGTGATGGATACTATTTCTTTTATTTGTTTTAGATTTCATTTTCTGAAAAAGACCTTTAGAAATTTCTTCCTTTCATGAGTGAGACAGAGAGAGAGAAAGAGGAGTAACTCTATTTGTTTTCAGCCCTGATCCACTTCCAGGTTTAGCCAGCCCCAGGTGATGGATACACATCTGTGGCATATTCAGAGAGCTTTCTAGATGCAAATCCAGAACATTTTCATGTGGGCATGCTTTGCTGTATGATACTGCTGTGCCATCTCCTACCCAGTTTGCCAAAACTGTTAATAATGTGTGTATTGTGTTTAGGAGGCATATAGTGTCGTCCGTTCATTCGTTCTTTCTTTCTTCCTTCCTTTCTTCCTTCCTTTCTTTCTCTCTTTCAACATACATTTGAGAGAGACAGACACCACGTTAACAGGGTCATGTCACGATCCATTCTAGCTTCAAACATCCCCAGATCATGGGTACATGTGTGCTTGGTCTACTCAGGTAAGACTTCAGATGTGAATTCAGAACCTTCCCACATGGGTCAGCCTTGCAGCGCATCCTCCTTCACTGCTGCACCACTGTCTGGACCTGTAATTCCTTTATTCTTATAACCTTGTCTTTTTATTGTAGTGCTACTGACCTTGTAAAATGAATTGTAAAGTATTTCTTTCTCCTTAATTTTCTGAAGTAATTTGCAGAAAAAATATTATTTCTTGCGTAAATAAATGTGTGATAGAATATTCTCCTGAGTATATTTTCACTTGGGATTTTGTTGTGGGAAATTTTAACTATAAATTTAATTTCTTTAATCATTTTGGTTATTTTGATTTATTTCTTTTTAAGTGAGCTCTATCACTTTGTCTCTTTTGTGTTCCTCCTATTTCATCTAATTTGTTGGTAAAACATGTTCAAAATGTTAATATATTTACATAGTAGTATCTATAATTCCTGATAATTTGATTTTCTTTATTTTATTCCTTTTTCTTGATAAGTCTGGCTATGGAGTTATCAATTTCATTGATTTTCCTTAAAGAAACAAATGCCTTTATTGACTTTCTCCCTTGTTACATACAAGAGGACTTCAAAATGTCTGTGAAAAATGTGTCGATGCAGAGATTTCAAAAATTTTTTGCACAAAAGTAAATACATATTAACTTGTTATAACATGTCTGAATAGGATCTAGTTTGAGAAACTAAAGATAATCCACCAGTTTGAAAAGAGTTCCTACCAGAGCAACATGAATTTGGATAAAAATTGAAGCAAGAGCAAACATCAAATGTATGGGGAACCTTGGGTAGAAGAATGAATCACCCTTATAAGAAATTATGGGCATAATGCCCTAAGGAAATTAGCCCTAGAGGAATGGATAACTCATTTTAAGAAGGAATATGACAACTTTGAAGATAATGTTCCAAGTGGTAGACCATCCATGTCAATTTG